ACCTGAAAGAGTAACATTATTATGTCCTGTACATCTGCAGACCTATAGATAACATTCTTCATATTATATAGATCAATCTGCAATCACCGGAGACAATCAATTTCTAACAAATTTCATGCCACATTATTAAAAATCAATGGATAGATAAGCTGGCAAATATATAATGCAATACATGCTGTAGCATTTTGATAATAAGGAACAATTTTGTGAAATCATGTTTTAAAAAGTGGACCTTTTGGAATTCACACCCTCTGCACACTTCCTGCCTATTCCAACACATACTTCTCGTTTTTCTTCCTCTTTTCTGCCTCTACTCACTTCCAGTGTCACATTCCCTTTCAGTTGACCTCCCCCTACTTAAGCCTAAACTTATCATTTCCTCATTAAACCTTTAACACTTCTTTTCATTTTTTCCACGGAATCGGCCCTCCTGAGTCCCTTGTGAATAATTCCTATGTTTTGTATATAGGCTTAATGTATGTTTGCTTTTGTGTTATGTAATTTTTGTGGATATTGGCCCTTGATGGCATTTGCAGCTTTGGATAAAATTGAATTGAATTTTGTCATATCATTATACAGCAGTTTTGTTGGTACTTAGAAAAATGTGTTGAAGTTTTTCATTATTGAATGTCGTTTTGGTTTTGGTTTTAGTTATTGACGTTTGAGGTTCTGCAACTTTCAATTTGTAAATATGTGGCAAAGACAAGCCAAACCAGTCACTCGTCGCAAATTGTGTTTCAGAGAAAATAGCCAAAACATGCTTGAATGTAAATTTTTTTTTAATCTAATTTATTTCACTAAACTAAGGTTTATGTATCTATACATCATGCTGTGTTGTTATTTTTCCCAATTTCAATGTTAAAACAACACTTTTTAATGATTTTATGATAGTTTCTGCATGAGAAATGCCTGAAATCATAAACTTTGAAGGCTGATTTCTCATATATTGTTCTTCAAACAGCTGTACGCTTAAATGCTTGTAACTTCAGAAGGAAATTTCGGATTTGAACGATTTTTAAACCATTTTATAGCTCTTATTTCACTCTTTAACCCTGTATTAATAACTCAACATCGATTTTTGCGATGAGTGACTGGTTTGGCTTGACTTTGTCACATATTATATATAGGCAACTGAACAACTATTGGTGAGACCCACACTATATATGTATTTGAAGGTTTGCTTCTTGTTCATTTTCATGCTGTGAGGAAAATGGATCTTTTCCCTAAGCTTTTGGATATTGCTAAGGTCCCAGAAAACGACAGTTTAAAACATATGCAAAAACAAGAATTTTGGGACAACAAAAGCACTTTTTAGACATTTAAAAAAACATAAAACACTTTTAGGTATTTCTGGCCCTGTTTTGATTGATCAGTTGTAAAGTTTGATTGACACCCCAAAATCACTTGGTGATTTCCTTCTCTGTCACGCTTGAGTGATTTCCTTTTCTGTATGCAATGCGATCTAGCTATACAAGGCAAGGCTTTCCTAAATGTTTAGCAAATTTTAAATTTGAAAAATTCTGATACGCGGAAAAGAAACTATCAAAATAAAATTTAATTTTCTTATTTAGTTAAAGTTTGCTTTAATTTATTATTTATTTGGCAACAACATAACACAAGTAGAGATGAATTGAAATTCAATCAATATCAATAACTATTAATCAACCAGAATCCTGTCTCTTATACACATCTAGATGTGTATAAGAGACAGATTTTGCAATAGGTCTACTGAAATATAGTAGGCGCCGGAAAAATTAGCCTAGCAACACTTCTAGGCTAGGCCTAGCCTTACCTTGATTTAGGTAACTGTTATCAGACATGAAAAACTGAGAGCATGATATTTTCTGTTGCTAGTGTTAACACTTGTGTCATATAATCTTTTATTGGAATTACTTTTCAAACTTGTTAAAAAATTATTCAAACTTATCTCAGGCTGGCTTATCGACTGCAGTGTGCAAGATCCGAGGTACAAAAACTAATCTTAGTAAAGAAGGTACACATTAATTATTGTTCACGACGTAAACATTTCAGTAAATCAGATAAATTAACGCTTTTATTTAATTATTTGTGGAATGAATTATCTTCATGGCCTTGGTGGGTGAGATAAAAAATAAAGAATAATGCATGTGGTGGGTTTGCAAACAATTACCTTGCCTTCCTCGGACGCTCGACTGATAAAATATAGGCCTACAGAAAAAGCAGCTGGCGAGAGCATTCCAGTGGATGTGATCTACAACCTCTGATTTTGCCTAGTTACGAAGAAGCCTAGGAGAAATACTCTCTACTTCTTATTTCTTTTTTCTCCTTTAACGTAAAACAAAACTTATGCCAATATTTTTTCATGGTTTTGTAATAATTAGAGTAATGCATATGCATTTATGCCGAGAACAATTTTTTTTTGAAATTTTTTCCAAATGGGGCTTTATGGCACCTTGGCCCCAGCTCAAGATACTCCATTACTGTGGCAGCTGCTTTACGTCCCTGTCGTCTACTCCAGATAGTTCTTGCGAGCTAAAAAAATTTGCCGCCCAGCAAAGAGTTCAAATATTTGCTTCAGCTACAGTAGGATTGCAGTAGTCTGCTGGTGGTATACAGTACCTCTACCAACTGCCAATTGTTGTGTATCTAGTTTTTGTAACGGTTCGGTATATAGACTGAACAGTGGCGGTGACAGCTGGGGTTCAGTGGGGCACAGGACATTGGTTTAGGGAACCTTGGACTCCTTGTCGGGGAAGAAACCAATTATTTTTAATCCTCATCAGGGAAACTAGACCTCCCATCAGTAGGGTTCTTTACTATCAATTGTCTCACAGATGTCAGTGTCACTGTGTGTCACTATGCACAGCAAAATAAAATAAAATGTGTTATTAAAGAAAGCGGGCTTAAAATTTTTAACCAGATACCACGGAAGGGATGTCTTCAACTTGGGACCCCTTAGACTCCAGCTTAAGAAATTTTTTGTACATGATGGTGGGTGTGCTACCAGGCTAAAAAAAAATCATTTAAAATTTACAAAAACAAGGTATATTTTAGGCCCCATAATAAAAGTTATTAGTTTATCACCCTATCAAAGAATAAAATCTGATGAGGGAGCCTGTTTGCGAAAACCATTGTTGTGTGAAATAAAAGAATGTTAGCCTTTGGAGTTTAAATACTCGCAATTTATGTTGGATTTACTCTATTGATATAGCTAACAAGATAATGTTTGTAATGCGTTTATGTGTAATATATAATTGTGAAGAAGAATCATCCGTGCCCATACTGTTTCGGCAGTTGACTACATTGAGATACTGACCGTACACTACCGAACTTTCTCAACCACGATAGACAGGCAGTAAACCTGAAACAGGACAGGTCTTATGGCATGGGGCCTTGAATTTGTTGCACTGTATCACTCTAAGGAAAGTGTCAAAAAAGGTCCAACTATATTTTATGAAATAAAATGTAAATAAGTGGATACATTACCGATTTTGAAATATAATTCAATTAAAATCAATTGAATTAGAACCCGGAAATAAATGACAAAATTCGCCATGATCACTCCTTGTCGCTCCAGTTCTTCTGCTCAGGACGATAGAATAATAAACAAGGAAGTTAGGAATCAGTGGAGTGGAACATGACGTCACGAAACTTCAACAACTACGGTAACTTGGGATAACTGGGAATTATTATTGTGTGGAAAATATTAATTAACATTTTGTCTAGTAATATAGGCCTACATTGTCCTCTATCAAGGGATCTAGGGCCAATGGCGGCTCAGCACACGAGGAGGGGTGGGGAAGGTTACGGTGCTTGTTGTAGCGTGACGAGCTGAAGCCCTGCCGGACACTAGCTACCACTGCCAAGTGCATAAGCCTTTAATCACTAGAGAGCCTATCCCAATCCGAAGATGACCCTTAATTCAGTTACACCACATACCACAAAATAAAATGTAATTTTAATTAAAAAAAAAAAAAGGCCTACTCACTATCAACTTAAATATTTAAGGCCTATTTATTAGTTTACGTTAAAATCCATTAAATAAATAAAATTATTATGTTTACAGGTAAGAAGGTGCAGTGGCTGAATGTGATACGGTAAGTTATTAATGATCTGGAATGAAGCTGTCGGATGAGAGTGACATGATAATACAGTATTTTTCGGCCATATAAATTAACTTAGCAGCTCCGTTTTGCAGACAAAATGAAGATGTTTATTGTTTATTGTTGGTGAGCCGAAGAATTGAATTCCTTATCGATATGAAAGCAAGATCATAGGATGGACCAATAATTCACCAATCATCGTAGGCCAAAATTGTCCTTTTAACGCAACATTTTTAAACAAATTACAATAAGCCTGATTCAGTACACATACACACACCCACAACCACGCACGGAAAGGATTCTAGTATTGACTACCAAAAGTCAAAATAGAATTTTTAAATCGGCTATTTGCAACTTTTTGGACTTTTTAAACAGTCCATTCTAAATAATAATTATACTTCATGGAAATTTCAGAAACTTGCATTGTGCACAGATCCCTGACGTATCTTCATGGCCGTAGCCACCGGTACGGTTGGTCGGGTTTCAACCTGACCACTTTTTGACAGACCACAAGTTAATTAGGGCCTAATTAGGTTTTGAATAGGAAAAACGAGTGGTCTAGTGGTTATGACGCTCGCCTTGTCAGCAAGAGGTCGCAGGTTCGAATCCCGTCTGAGGCATTTTATTACACAATGACTTTTATAGGACTTTATTCGCTGAAAAGCTGCAGGGTAGCCTACTATGTTCCACCATGTCCTTATTAAACATTGTATATGAACCTAGGTTTAATAATTTATATTATTTTATATTTATTTATTCAGCAGTTATTCGGCTAACTTCCTTCAATATCATATACAATATACGACAGTACGGTATTTATTTCTAGCCGTTTCTCCATATAATTTATCTGCCCGAACATGACACCACATTTACACTCCACTGATTTCGAACTTCCTTGTTTAGGCCTATTGCTGAATAACAGGTCTGGAAGCCAACATGTCGAATTTTGTGATATATTTCCTCGTTCAATTTCAGATTGTTTTAATTGGATCCAAAATAGGTAATGTATCTACTTGTTCACATTAAATTTATTTCCTAATTATAGTTTGCCGAGTGTCAATAGGCCTATATTCAAGGATTTATTGATGCACTGCGTAGGC